CCGTGATCCAAACAGAAATCAATCAAATCCAGCTAATAGCACTCGTAAAATAAGATGGTTCAGTCATTTAGTCTGACATTTATACTTACACTGTCGAAAGGCGATTCTCCAAAAATACCGAATAATGCGTGTATTCTCAATATTAGTAATTAGTATATTAGTAATTAAAATCCACAGTATCAAACAAACTGCCTAAAATCGATAAACACAGTCTTTTAGATATAAACGTCTTAACTAAATAATTAGTGTAAAACAGTATGAATCAAGTTTGAGAGGTTAGAAATAGCCCCGAAAAAAAAATACCTTTAGGTGTCAGTCTTCATTAGTAAGATTGCCACTGTTTGAAGATGACTTTTTCAAATTGCATCCACTAAACCCTGATATCGTTTGATACATTCAAAAGAATGTTGATTAATCTGACTGAATGAAAACGAAAATTCTAAAATACCACTATTGGCAAATCATTCGATCCTTATTAACGTCGCTCCTACTTATTCACCTTTATATGATTTTAACAAACTAGTGTGTTACACTAAACATATTATAAGAAATATATTTTTTACAACTGCAACCTAGAAACATTTAAATTTGAATAGTGTCATTTATGTGTACTTGAACCTTTCAACTAATGGCATTTTTCTCATTCAAATGGATCTCGTTAACAAAACAGTGCGAATGAATAATTGCAGAACCTAAAGAGAAAATGCCTTCAAGAGAATGTTTTTTGTTCACCAAACAGAGCTTTCGATTAATATATATAAAAGTATTGAGGTAGGTGCGTTCTAAGTGGAATACAAGACTGAAACGATTCGAAGTTACAGGAGTAGTGCAGTTGCTAGCGTCTAAAGCCACCCAATCTAATTTTTTCCAGGTTTACTATAGCCTAGTAAACTGAGACTGGTTTAGGAATGCATCGGCTGGGAATCAGAACCAGACGACATTTGGAACTGCCGGGGTTCTCTACCAGTGAACCACCGACAAACAACGCGTTATCTACTGGTCCTGAATCGACATAGAACTTTGCACAGAAGTGGAGTAGTTCGATTTCTCACAGTCTAAGCAGCACTCAAAGGAAGACGGAGACAGGAAAAGAGATATTCCAAAGGACGATAACGTGTAGAAATATGAGGGAGAAGGAATAGTAACACTGATCCCGCGGCCTGCTTAAATTACTAGGCTACCAGAATTTTCATCCATCAAAATGCTTATACTCTTCTGCGTTTCTTATTGTTTTAATCGTTTAATTATACAACATAACCACTAAATAAACTCGCGCATATATTTAATTAGCTCCCAACTAAACGCTGTGCAATTCTTTCTTCAAATGCAACAAAGCTACGTCACATGGCATACTTCAGATTATTACTTTACATGTAAATCCTGAATGAAGAGGAAATATTTTGGAACTAAATACGCTGAAATTTTCTGTACACATTTCTATTCAAATACTGCCTGAAATCAAGCTTTATTATTCGAAAAAGAATAGGGTTAAATGGATATACCAGATCACAAAGATTGAATGCATTTGCTCCGCAGAGGACGATTTCCAGCCATATCACCAACTTAATAACTCCCATTGTAGCATTAAGAACACAAGATCATATACATAATTCATGCTAACCTTCCGCGTTTTCTTCGTTAAAGACTTCTAAAGACAGCTGAGGCCTTGGAAATTCATGACTTTAAGCCAGACATTTGTGTACAAAAGAAGTATGTGCAATCCCTGCTTCTGCCTTGGCCGTAGAGGGATAGACATTTATTCATTTTGTTTATTTAGTTATTCTATGTACTTTTCCCTTATTACTACGATTATTATCATTCTTATTATTGCTATTCTCACTCTGAACCTTTGCTACTTGACCCACTTGACATTTTAAACCAAAAATTATTAATTTATATATTTTTTATTTTTACAATATTGAATTCTATCTTATCAAATTTCACACCATGTTATGTAACATTTTATATTCGTCTACTAATCTTATAATTATGTACCTCTTTCCAAAATCTATACACCTCATGTGTTATTCTATATATGACATTAATTATTTTGCCACTTGACATTAAACGATGATTATAATCACAAGTATTTTAATTGTATTTCATACTATTATTATTTCATGTATTCACACCTTTTACCTAATTCCCTCACCAGATATAATTTCTTTATAAAACCATATATATACATATGATTGTACAGCTTGATAATAAATTCGTTGAGAAAAGTCTCTTCCCTGAATACTGTGTTCTTAATATCACCAACTGTCTCCAGTCATTAGTTCTCAGAATCCCAAAGACACTAATCAAGTAGTCTGTACCTTCCTGCGTGGCTGGCTCAAATTAACTATCAAAGACTTCATGAATTGATTCCAAATTCTGGTTTGACCACCACTAGCTCTTTTCCAACCTCATCGATCCTATTTCAGCTAACGTTCCCTGTTGTCGAGGAAGGCGATGGGTAGAAATGCATATGTAACACATGCCCTAACCATCTCAATCGATATAACTTCACAGTGCCACCCTTACCTAACACACTTGACGCCTCATCTCAGTATTATTCTCCCTATTGTACAGGAGATGGAGAACGCAAACACCTATGATCAAAGATATCCAGTTATTTTTCCCACTAAGCTCATTACATTACCATTTCACTGAGAAAATGACAGAGATTCGTTGTCAAATAAAGGTACGCATACCTTTTTGAAAACTGATCGAGGCTATCTTCGCAAAAAAGAAAGTACGCTAGAAAAGGCATTTCTGTCATCATCCTCATTATTATTACTATTATTGTTCCTTTGGTATCCTAGTGGAACATAGGGCTTCAACTACACGTCTCCACTTGCTTCTGTCTTCTGCTGTACTTTTCACCTGCATCCATGTTAGTCCATACTCTTTCAACTCCTCTTCACACGATCTCCTCCATATCACTCACCCTTGGACGTCCCACTCGCCGCTTCCCTTTCGAGTTCCACTTCAGCAATGGCCTGACGCGCCATGTTCACCTGGAGTTCTGTCTTCTCTGGCTGCTTCTTCAACCAGTTTGTCGGTTTTCGCTTGTACGTCGTCGATTTTGTGTGACATCAAACATAAATCATCCACGCATGAAATCCAGGTCTTCTAGGTTCCAGGATATTCCTGTCTTCTCGTTTCCCACTGTCTGACGCATAATGCAGTCAGTCCATCACAATTAGGAATATCATTGGTGATAGATAGTATGCACCCTTGTCTGACTCCTGTGTTTACTCCAAACGCCTCACTGAGTTTTCCGTTGTGGATCACTTGGCAGGTGCCGTTGTCGTACAGCTGTTGAATAAGGTTGATGAATATTTGGGGTACGCCATAGTACTCGAGTAGTTTCCAAATTACTTCGCAGTCAACGCTGTCTGTCGAAAGCCTTCTCAAAGTCTATAAAGTTGAGGTAGAGGTTTGATTGCCATTCCTTGCTCTGTTCTGTGATGATGATGATGCGTAGAGCTGCAATTCGGTCAGTACATGATTTGCCTGACTTTCCTGAACCCAGCTTGTTCTGTATCCAATGCATCCTTTATTCTCTCCAGGATGATGCGACTCAGAATTTTACTTGGCGTCGACAAGAGCATGATTCCTCGCCAGTTCTTACAGAGTCCTAAGTCGCCCGTTTTTGTTAGTTTCACCAGTAACCCATCCTCCAATCAGTAGGCACCTTTCCCTCCTTATTACTGATATAATATAACAGTGAAAGTAATTACTTATGTATTATTATTGCTATTATTACTGATGTATATGTATATCAAATAAATATTTAAAAGAACAAAAAACAATTTGAATCTAAATTGTGTTTAACGTTATCCAGCAGTAATAATAATAATAACAATAGTAATAGTAGTAATAATAATAATGGTAATATAAATGTCTCAATTGTCTCGTCAATACAATACAATACAGTAGAATAACAAGGTAAGGCGTAATCGTTATTAACAAAAGTAATAAAATTAAAAAAGAAAGAAAGATACAGTCCAAATTGATTGTTGTGATGATACTTACCACCTACGACTTTTTTTTTAAAAAATGTGCTAGTCTGTGCTGTCTGAGAACAAAAAAAACAACATGTAAGTGTGATCATAAACAATACACAGAAAAGTAAATCAACAACATTCATTGCCACCTCAGATGATGAATGAACCACTGACAGTACACACACATACACAGTGTGTGTGTAACAACGGGTTTTCCATGGAGAGTTAGTTCTTCTTCTCATCACTTTGCATCAAACAACGTGATGTTGACGGTTGAACTATGCTGTAGAAGACGCGTCAGTCAGCAGTTACAACAGAGAAAGGGGCTCACGGGATCGAGAGAGAGGGAAAAGTAGTCAATAATTATGAGTGAGACTGATCAGGGATCAGGAGAGATGAATTTATTTAATATACATATACATTATATATATATATATATATATATATATATATATATGTATCATGTTCAAATGGAATTCGTTGTTTATTCTATACTTATGAGTTGCTGGATAACCTAACTGATTGTTTAATCGAAATCGAAATTACTCTTTTAATTTGTAAAATAAAAGATAATTAATTAGTAAGTATTGATCAAAGAGAAAAGAAAAGAACAAAGTCGACAATTATTCAGTGTTTGAGTAGTCGAAGTATAGTTCTTAAGGCGAGTAGATTAGAACACTATCATTTAAAGAAATGAAAAATACGTGTGTATGTGGGGGAATTAGATAAAAATACACAAAAATGATTACAAGAGAGTCAAAAATAGTAAGAAGAAGAATAGTGGTAGAAAATATCTGTTCCGAATATCGAGTTTCGACATCAGAACTCGGGTGGTGTACAGGTGATTTCAACTGTTTTTTCTAAACAGGAATCAATATATATATATATATCTTTAAAACACCTAAATGTTGTAATGTGAGATTTGATAGGGAAAAGTAAATCGTATGGATACACACCACTGTGCCTTATTCCTTAGTATTATTATACCCCTTCTCCCTGCAGAATTCATACAGTAGAAAAGCCTGTTGCATTGGCCAAAGCAGAATTAAGTGCCATACTTCGATTAGCTGATATAGCAAACAGTGGAATATGATAATATTTGCACGGTACACGTGTACACCTGCCTTTCGCTGCATCACGACATACAATTACACGTCCTTGATTGACTTCAACATTTTCTAAATAATAAGATAAAAACAAAACAAAAATTTATTTAAAATATGAATAAAATTTGTTGTGTAACTATATTATATTTCAGGTTCACTAATTGTTGTCTGATTTCCTACAAACTGCAAGTGAAAAGCAACAAGTTAGCAGAAGAAGCATCAAAGGGAGGACTTCAGGTGAACATAGATAAAGCAGAGGTGATGACGATTCCTGGCCAACAACAACAGACAACAATCAGCCAGCATGAATAGGAAGAACCTGAAAGAAACAACCTCCTTTACCTACCTGGGAACCATCGTTTCAACTACAAGCGGAGGATATCAAAGCCAGAATCGGGAAAGGAAGACAAGCTTTCATTACTCTCAGGTCTGTGTGGAGGTCAACAGCACTACTCAGCATCAAAAATAAGATCCGAATTTTCAACTCCATTGTAAAGTCAGTGCTACTCAATATACGGGTCAGAGACTTGGCGCTGCGTCATAAAGAGCATCTCAAACAAACTACAGACCTTCATCAACAGTTGTCTTCGCCTAACACTCAAGATCAGATGGCCGGCCAGAAAAGATCAGCAATTGCGAGGGATCTCTGGCAATGAGCGAACTAACCAGGAACCGATTGTGAAAGAATCAGGCAGGAAGAAATGGAGATGGATTGGCTGGTCATACTCTGAGGAAACCATCAAGTGACATCACTAGACAAGCCATTGCTCGGGTGGAACCTGAAAGGGAAGCGGCGAGTTGGTCGTCAGCGAAAGGCTGACTTGGATGAGGTCATGTGAGGAGGAGATGAAAGCATGTGGGCAGACTTGAAGCGGAGTGAAAACGTTGGCAGAAAACAGAAGGCAATGGAGAAGCGCAGCTGAAGCCCTATGTTCCTCCAAGAATTAAAGGAAATAATAATAATAAATTGTTGCTGAATAACACTCAGTCTAGGCATAACACATTACAACAAAGTATTGACGATTATATAAATTATGAGTTTTTGTAGGGGATGTGGATCAATTTCAAATTTCTACAAAATCCAATAATCTAAATATCAATCTCCAGACGATTGACGGCTACTGGATGAATGTCGTGAAACTGTACTAAGAACTCTTAGCCAGTGAAGTCCACGACGACAACGTGAAATGGGTGCTCATCGAAAGAAAGCATATCATCATCACGAACTGAAAAAGTTAGAATTCACAGGTCATTGAATTCCTACCCAAGCGGCTGTATGATAAACGAGTTCCGTCTTGTAATTTCAAGGTTCACGATTCGGCCTCCAGTGGGGTTGTGTGTACCTCTGAAGAATTCCAAACTAGAATAAAACAAATGCCCGGTGCTCCTTGGTTTTAAATGATTGTGAAGTGCTATGAATATAGTGAAATTGATTATGAGCAATAAGTTGTTCTCAAAACGTTATCCAGATATTAATACTAGATATTGTTGTGTGTTTTTTATCAAATAAACTTATATGAAATGATTGATAACCTCCATAATGTCAAACAATAACCACCACGTCTCTTCCTCTAGTGCTTGGTTAATTGAAAAAAAAATAGTAAACTTCAAATATTCCTTCGTTTTACTCGCAATCATTCAGACACTTTGTTTTCTGAGAAAAGTTAGTGGTATGGTGGGCGTAGATGCATCCACTCTTTGTGATTTATCATATCCAATAGAATTCTATTGTTCTTCCCTCTTCACCTCTTTTGAATCTCTCTCTCTACTCTTGCTTTGTGTCCTACGTGGATGGATTGTAGCAACTGGAACTGCTGCATATCTGTGCAAAGTTCTACGTTGAAACCAGTCAGTCAAATCTTCATCAGCCTTAATATTCTAAACATTGTCTTTACATTTGGATTTAATTTGCTCAACCCAGAAGCTAAAAATTCATTTTCACATGAGGTGATTTTTTTATCCCATATCCCAAATCTTAAATAAAAAGACATCTAATGAAATATATTTCTTCTCTTCATTACCACCCCGAACACCATAGAATCTCAAGAAAATCCTCGTCGAGAATTGTTATCCAGAAAGATTTATTGCAAAATCTATGAATCCTAGACCACAAACCCCCCCCCCCCCCCGTGCTTAGCGTCCCGAAAAAACTACTCTACATGAACCTTCAATTCAATGGAGATATATCTGCGGAAACACTAAAATATCGTCTGTCGCGCTCACTCAAGAAGACCTTCGCAGCCGAACTACGACTAAACTTCTCCACAAAACCTATGATTCATGTGAACGTGAAGGATAAGCTACCGCTGTTGGCCTCATCAATGTGCATTTATCAATTCACCTGCTCGTGTGGAGCCAGGTATGTCGGCCGTACCCAGCGTTCGCTTTCCAAGCGTATCACCAAACACTTACCAACAGGGTTTTACAAAGGAGAAAAACGATGTCCCCGCAGCTCCATCTTAGAACATCTGATAGAATCCGGACACGTGGCTACACCCCAAACAAACTTCAAAGTAGTCTACAGAGTAAGAAGTATTCTTCTTAAAGGTGTAGAATCAGACTTCTTCAAACTGCAGAAGCAATAGCGATTCACTTGCTAAGCCCTGAACTCTGCATATAGAAGAAATTCGTTCAATCACTACACTTGCAATGGACGTAATCTATCTTATTACCCGACAAGTAAATTTTACCTAATCTCTTTTTCTGTCTCTTCATTAGTATTATTTTGTCTTCTCAATTGTAATATTTTACATCTTCAACTTTCTTGTTCTCTACCCCCACCCGATTTAATTTCTACACCTCACTACCACTGTTACTGACTTGACCAACACTCAATTTCTAGTCATTTATGTTACGTCATCCAATTTAATTGCTCAATTTCAGTTCTAATTTAAATGGCATTATTATCTACCCCACTTCTACCTAATCTCTGCCTGTAATTACCTCTGTTGCTTCCCTAACCTAAGTTGAAACATTTTGGTCAATTATATTACATCATCTAACTTACTAACTCAATCTTACTTTAGTTGCTATCTGATTAACTTTGTTTCTATATTAGATCATTCTTTTATTACCTGATCAATTATCTAAACTTGACAAACCTCATGTACACACACACAAATAATTATATATGAATGCGATTGTACAGCTATGTGAATGAATTCGCAGAAAAGAGTCTCTTCGCTGGACGTCTTCTCTTTTTCATTGAATATTCAGCTACTGGGATGAAATCCAACGGTCGGGTCATGAATTCTATCTTTAGGCAATTTAAGACGTATAGCGCAAACTACCATCTAATGACCTTGTGAGTATTCGACCGCACCCCCAAATTGGTGGACGTCACTGGCTGCAACTTTTCATTAAAACTTCCGGAGACTTCATCTTATAATCAGTGACTAATGAATATTACATTTATTTTTCAAATGTTGATGTTTGAAAATATTTAACTGATTTCCAGTTACACATCACAAACTGAATTCAGACAGAGAACCATTGAAAATCAGAAAGTACTGGACAGCTGTTTCACTACATGTGTCTTGATTAAAAAAATGAAAACATGGTGTAATAGATGCAAATACGTAGATGTACGGAAAGATAGCCCAGGTGTCAAACAGGCCACCAGACTCTTGACTTCTCCTTTAGGCATAAACGAGATCTACAGACACTAGTAAGCATTCATGAAGACCGTAGCATTGAGGGGACTAAAAATGAAACTGAGTCTAATGCAAAATACATCGGGCTAGTTCTATCTTCCGATTTTACTTGGACATCTCATATCCTAACGATTTCTAAGAAAGTGGTCCGTTTAACCTACTACATTAAGAAACTTGGACTATCTGGAATCCCCCAACCTCTATTTTCACAATTTGTCAACTCTCGTATCTTACCTATTCTACTTTACTACTCCCCGTAAGTCTTTCCTGGGCTACTGAAAAAGGACTATACCATCCTGAGAAGGATGTTGAAGGTAGTTAGTAGGACTAGTGGTGTAAAACTCAGTCAGCTCGTCACTACATTAGTAGATAAGCATCTGAATACATGCGAAAAATGGTCTAAAACCATACTCTCCGACCCCCAACACCCCCTCTATTCCCAACTCTCCCCTTGTATCTCATCAGGTAGAACCAGAAATCAGTACAAAATAATACATGCCCGTACAACCAAGTACAGGAACTCAACGATACGCTATGTGGCCCATGTTCTAAGTGACAGAGACAATGTTAAGCGCGAAACCTATGACTTCCTTTGTTGTTAATAACATAATTTTAGGCTTTTTTATTTCTCTCTTATTTGTATTCTCTAGTGAACACCTTCTTAAACATACTTAGCTACCTAAATTATTAACATTGGTTTACTTTTTTATTTTTTATTCTATTCCTTCTTTTGTGTATCTACTGGTCCCGACTATATTATCACTATGAGTATTACAAAATTGTCCTGTCATTAACCATCATGTAATATTAGTTTTGTGATTATTTTTTTGTTCGGCTATATTAACTGACCATCTTGGTTGTGGACGCAATTATCACCCTCTTAAAATTTTGTATTATGCAGGATTACTCCCACTACCACTACAAACACCGCATTAGAGTTGAAAATAAAAAACCTGAAATGTTTATTTTATGATTGTCTGGTGTTGTTCAATCAAATTAATTGATCATCCTGGCGATAAACATTCTTTAATATCATTCTCATAACTTCTTGTATGGCTATAGCTTTACTGTTCACCACGCATAAACATATCATAGCTTCCACTACCCAATACTGAGATATTTTATGTTGTTTATATTCCTTTCTACTTCTCGCTATTATTTCTCATTTTTTGTTATTTTTTTGTTTTTTGTTGTTGTTTTTATATTTATTTTTTGTAATACACCTTTCAAATATGCAATGAAATTAGATGCAATATTGTAAATATGTGCTGAAAATTCCACACTGTACCACTAGTAATGTTTCTGGAATAAAGCAAAATTATTATTATTATTGATTGTGTGGTTTGTCGACAAAACTACTTTGCGTAAGGTCAATCCTGCTGATATATGTACGTAACAATTCTTTAGAAAAGATATCTCTTATCGACTTGTGTGAAGAATGCACGAACTTTTCTATACTCAGTCTTCCCATACAGCAGTTAAAATTTCATTTAATAACCACAAGTAAGCTATTCGTCATGTGTGTAGCAAGAAATAAGAAAGGACATGCTACCAATAATTATAGTGTTGAATACTCACCGTCAACAAGATGAACATAACGACACTCTGAATTACGACGGCATTTACCAGCTTTAAAATCACGACATATCGGTAAGGTTTCCAGGAGCTGAAAATAACAAACAGATAAGAAGAAAATGAATGACCTAAATAGCAAGTATACATAAAAGATGGGCATCATTAAAAAGACATTTCTTGCCGAACTATAAACTGAACTCCAGCCAGAGTTTCTGGTTACTGATTCTTTCTCGTCGGACGGTCATTTCCTCTTCAATATGGAGCCAGAGAAGGCGGATGTTAATGAATGTCTCTAGCTTGTTGGAAATCCTTTTTGTGAAACACTGGCAAATTTTCTGACCCATATAGAAAAAGTGACTAACCTAGCTTTTGTATTGAACAGAATCTAAATCTTGTTCTTTATGCCACGGAGTGTCGAAAATTCAAAAACTGGTTTCAGCTTGACGAAGGTGTATCTTGCCTTTCATATTCTGGCTTTCACATATGCATCCGTTCAATCGACCTGTGGTTGAAACGATGCTGGCTGCCTAGATAAGAGAAGGAAGTAACCTCTTTCAAATCTCTCCCGTTGATGGTGATTGGTGTTGTTTGTTGTCACTGTTCGTTGGTTGGCTATCTTCATCACTCCCATGTTCACTTGGGATCCTATCTTCGCTGCCAACCAGCTTCTTCGGCCAGTTTGTTGGTTTTCGCCTGTAAATCTCCAAGTTTGTAGGATGTTAGACATAAATCATCCACGAAATTCAAATCTTCTAGGGTCTTCTTATCGATGGTCCAGTGCATTTCTCTCTCCTCGCTTCACACAGTCTGACGTCAGTCCACCACAATTAAGAATATCATCGATGATAATAGACAGCTTTGCCAATTCAATTATAGCGCCTTAACACTCAAATAATGGACTCTTAATCAATGCGAATACACAGGTGAAACAAATGCTTAGAAATGTATAACATTATTATACTGAGTAAGAAATAAAAAACAAGCAAGCTTACATGGCCTTTTTCATTGATATAAGCCACATTTGTCATTGGATTTTGTGAGCAAAAATTATTAATGCCATATGGTCCAGATGTTAGACTTCCTAATGGACCTGAAATACACGTGCAGACACAGACACAACGGAAAAAAATATATTCATGAGTAAGCCAAACCATAAAAGACTATACATTTGAATAAATCATCATTATACTGACCCGATGAAGTTGACAATTTCATATATATATATATATATATATATATATATATATATATATATATATATATATATATATATATATATATATGAAATAAACATTCTCTCTCTCTCTCTGTGTACACAAACGATCAAACCAATGACCTTCAAATACGATTTGCGTGTATGCAAATGAAATATATATATATATATATATATATATATATATATATATATATATATATATATATATATATATATATATATATATATATAGGAAAATAAACAACAACCATAACACTTTGATTCTAAATGACCTTAAATTTTGGAACTTTGGATGAAATAAAAGTTTGTTTTCATCATACTCTATTCAGCTGTATACCAAAAAAAACCACAACAATAACAATCAATGTTCACGCTTGTTTGTTTTTTTAATAGACCACTTCGACCATTCATTCTACATATTTCATATTTAGCAGTTGAAAAGTGGTTACCCCTAGACTGACTGGTCAATAAAAACACACACATCAAGGTTGTAGTTGCTTTAATACAGAGTCAGTTAGGTACGATGAAAACAACTGTGAGTGTCATTAAGTTAATTAGACATTGAGAGATAAATAAATTACATTATACTGGCTTTGATTATATTTTTAGAATTTTTAATATATTTGTGCGTTGAAGTTTCTGTAGCGATTCGGTCTGGTTGCTAGCACCACGCGTCAGACAGTGGGAAATGAGAAACAGGACAGGGATATCCTGGATCGATGTGAAGAACCTAGAAGACCTGGATTTCGCGCAGGGGTGATTTATTTTTAATGTCACACAAAATCGAAGACTTACAAGCAAGTGGAAACCGACAAACTGGTCGAAGAAGCAGCCAACGAAAACAGGACTCCAGGTGAACATAGACAAGACGGAGATTGTGAAAATCACCAGCCAACAACAACAGAAACATCCAGCGCCAATCACCATCAACGGGAGGGATTTGAAAGAGGTTACTTCATTCATTCACTTATCTAGGGAGCATTGTCTCAATTATAGGATGTCGTAACGGACGAAGATGTCAAATCGAGAATCGGGAAGGCGAGAAACACAGTCATCAAGCTGAAATCAATCTGGAAATCTTCATCACTCAGCGTCAACAACAAAACTCGGATCTTAAATACAAACGTCAAGTCAGTCAGTTCTTCTATACGGATCAGAAACTCGGTGAGTGGGTCACAAAGAATACTTCCAACAGGCTATTGCAGACATTTATCAACAACTAACTGTCTTCGCTCTATACTGAAGATCAGATGGCCGGGTCGGAAAGAATCACCAACAAGAAACTATGGGAACAAACAAAACAAGAACCAATCTCCCAAGAAATATGCAGGAGAAAGTGGAGATGGATTGGCCACTCGCTGATGAGGCCGCTGGGTGACATCGCGCGCACATCAGGCCATTGCTCGAGTGGAACCAGGCCGAAAGGGAAGCGGCGAGTGGGACGTCGGTGCAAGGGTGACATGGAGGAGATCGTGTGAAGAGGAGGTGAAACAATATGGACAAAGATGGATGCAGGTAAAAAGTACAGCAGAAGAGAGAAGCAAGTGAAAACGTGCAGTTGAAGTCCTATGTTCCACTAGGAACCCAAGGGAACAATAATAATAATACTGGCTTTGATAGATAACATTTCACTCTAAGAATTACAGCATGAGATAGACTAAGTGATTAGCTGATGCTCGCTAGTGACTGGCTACAGGAGGGAGTTTCCTGCTGCAGTTCTAGTGAGAAGTTGTGACCAGTGAGGCGCATCCAGTTGGGATGTGAGGATGGATTTCCTGCCGATGAAATTGATTGGTGGTCGCGCCTAAATCACGAATTGGTAGAGGTAAGAATTCATGGGCTGGCCATTGAATCGGGTCTCAGTGGCTGAATGGTATATGAGCCTGACTTGTGACCGGAAGGTCCTGAGTTTGAATTCCAGTGGGTATGTACTGCCGATGATTCCCAAACTAGGCTGACTAGACAGTTGTCCAGTACTCCAGTGCTCGTTTTTAGTGGTTCTCTAACTGATATGAATCCGTGGTCAAACTCGTAAGTTATTATTATTAGTATGGACTTTTAACAAGGTTCTTCTTTATGTATTTATTGTGTTTAATCGATCCAACACGATTTTGAAGGAAGTAGGATGATTAGGGGCTTTTAATATCATCAGTTTTGTTATACTACTCTAATTCTTGTGGAGGTCGAAAAATACCAAATTATACGTCCATTTTAAAATAGTAAAAATAATGAATTCACTGCACATCATGGGTGTTAGCGGATATATTGTGAATAAGGACACTGGCTTGTTCACCACGCACTACGCATGGTACAACTCCGCTTCTCCAGCTTCTTGTTTTCCACTATTGCCAATCATCTCTGGCCTGTACTTGATCCGCATATCCACTTTTGGATCTTTTGCTTCAGTCTTATTTTCTTGCCCCAAGTACCCTCAGGCTGCCGGCATAATATTAAGTGGAGCGAACGACTACATATCAAAAGGGACTACTTCACTACTAAAATTCTGTACGTCTTTACTTGTGTATTTTGGGGAGAAATCAAAGTCCTATCGTTACTTTAATAAGCTTATTTGACAGGAGTTTCCACTTCTAATTAGGTAGACTGTTACACACAATCAACTAAAACATAACTAAATATACTTGACTGATTTAGACTAATAAATTATGAAATTCACTGACGAAGTTGTTACATGATGATTCAATTCCGTGATAAGGCATAACAGAGTGAGAAGTGGGACAAAGAAATGTGTCAGTCACAGAGGTATACAAGCAGCAAAAGTATACCAATATAAAAAGATCACAAAGTTATTGACGGATAACCTTGATCACAAAACATCTTATGAACGAAAATATGTTTTAAAATTTTAGACAAAATGTCGAGCATCTAATTGGTGGATGGTGACTAGCAGTAGAATCCAGGATGCGCATTTCGTCCTATTTGGGACTCGACATCTGGACGTCAAGCAAGTGAACTTGAACTCAAAGGAAAGCTAGCATAATTCCACAATAATTTGTTTGATGGATAAATCACACAGTAAAATAGTATTATATAGTGGATGAAGAAGTTTCAACTGTTACCGCGAAGCTTTCGGACTTGATTTTTATAGTTCTCTTTATTCTTTCACATTTGTCGTAAGGGGCGGTAGAATTTCCTAGATGTCCGGGTGGACAGGGTGTATGAAATCATCCCTATTGCACGTATTCTCAGTTACCAATCCCCACCTACACCTTTTCATATTAGATTTTAGGACTGTTATTTTGTGCCATCCTATTGTATGGTTGTGTGTAACTGCATGGAGTGCTACAGCTGAGTTATTTTTCCATATCTCCTGTCTTATTAGAGTTGGCGCCAATCTAGACTACTATATTTTTGAGCCCCGCTAGTTTAACTGAACCCGTTCCTACTACTTAGACAGATATGATCTCACAATCATCGCGGGATATTAGATAAACTAAATCGTCTTGTTTAATGTGCTCCACAAGATCCTTTAACCGACATAATTTCTTTTCTAAGTTAGTCTGTGGATTTGAATGACCCTTTTATTCCTGCTTTGTTACGAATTCTACGTGAGGATGACAGTTTTAATGGTGTGGTTATCCGGCTTGCATATCACAATAACCCGACGAGCTACACTGGCTGGCATTAATGTACCTGAATGTGTTACCATACCAGAAAAGTTGTTTGGATGGGGGTTAGACTGAAAGCAGATACCGTCATAGTATAGGCTGTTTACAATATGTTGAGGGTTTGTTGACGAAGTCATACTACTGGAAAACAGGGAGTTAACAGCAGTGAGGTGTTTCCTTTAGATGACTAGCATGTTAGCTACACTGCCTCTCCATTCTGAAGAGCGGGAGTTAGAAAAGGTCAAGCCCGGAAATTGTACATCACGACTTATCTTGAGGCTTTCCGTAGCCCAAAAGTAAGATCTTTGTGCAGATGCAACTCCGAAAACCAATTCAAACATGCCATATGTGGCTGGCTTCAAGCAGATGTCCCCTGGGCTCTGCGGTTACAGAGCACTAATTCTCTTTCTGTTTCGGGTAACCCAGGGAGAAACCAACTACTGTGGTTTGGCTAGCTGGGAAGTAACAACCAGCCATGCACTTCCAAAATCACACAAAGCTCATTCAGATCAAAATTAATCAATATTGTGTTAGATCACGCTGAAACAATGCATGTCATATACATGCATGCTATAGATGTCGAAAGCTTCACTGCGGGTCCGCTCAACCTCTTCAATTCCCTTACAATAGTGGAAACCACCATAATGATAGCCAATTTAAGTACCTATATGGACAGTTGTAAAAGAAGTTGGTTAAAGCACCTGGTTTCTCATAAATGCTGAACTTGTAAGCGTTTCGGTGACCGATTCAAGACCTATGACATGTCACGGAGAAACTTGCAAGCTAAAAGTTTAAAAGCATAGACGTATGAGGCAGTATGCTACTGACTGACTAAGATAAGTAGTTGTACACTACTCATATCAACCAGCAGTGCTTACTTTCCAGTCATCGAAGTCATATAAACACTGGATAGCCGTTACGCCCATTTGAAGCTCAGCTCATCAGAGGTACATCCGATCCGGACTCAGCACAAACAAACGAATCAATACAAACCACTCGAATTTTGGCTAGCTACTTCAGAGAAATAAAAATAATTTTTCCTTCACGTTCCCAGTGGAACATAGGGCTTCAAGCTAGTGGCTTGAGGTTTCTGTAGCAGTGTTCATTTTACAGGATGGGATTGCTAGCCCCATGCCCAATCTCTCCTCTTTACCAGCATTATTTCTGGCTTAGAGAGGTAAAGGAGTGCGTCTGTGGCCGGGGATCGAACCCCGGACCATATGCATGGTCGGCGAGCGTCCTAACCGCCATGCCACCACTTCAGAGAAATAGGAATACGTTAAATTAATTCATAATTTACCAATTAATTCGTAGATCACATACTGTGATCTGAAAAATTTCGCTTTCAACAGGAAACTCTGGTGAAATTTCTCCCACAGCTTTTCAGATTGTAAATCACCAATTAATTTGCAAATTGCAAAATTTGATTTCAATATTGGGAGACTAACAATTCACATTCATGAAGAAATAAGTCCTATATCAAATAGCAAAAATACTATTGGGAAAAAACAACAAAGCTTACATGATGAGTCTAGTACACAACCAGGATTCTGAAGAGTAGGGATTGAAGGCAGTCTTGATGCATCATTTTGCGACAAGTAACCAGCTGCTGCAACTTGTGCTGCAGCCAATTGAGCTTGTTGACTTCTAAGAAGGAGTGATAACAGGAGAGCTTGTTGTTGTTGTTGTTGTTGAAAAACAATATTTGACGTATTCGTGTGTAGATCAGGGGCGGAAGGATGCTGTTGACCTGCAGCTAAAGTTGCAGCAGTGGCTAAAGTTGACGGTACATAAGAAGAATATAGACCAGGTGCAGATATTTGATGATTTGTTACTGTTGCTGGCAACTGACTACGCAACAATTGATGGGATTGAACTTGTTGTTGTTGCTGTTGTTGTACCAGGAAGTTATTGAGTGCTAAGGCTGCAGCAGCTGAAGCTATCGGTATGCTTGCATCACAACCACCATTCATAGAGTATAAAGGTGGATATAGAAACTGTGATGGTGTGTACATGGAAGCAGTAGGTTGTGAGGATAATGGAAGACCATAAATACTCATATTCAAAGGATTTAGGATATTTGTCACTTCAGCGCTAACATGAGGTGCACCACCAATGTCTGTACATGAATTTATTGAAGTAAATCCAGGATTGATAGATCCACAAGAGAAAATAGTAGGAAATGTAGCTCCACACTCAGAAGAATGACTTTTTGAATCACGAGTTTGAGAAGTATTATCAAGCTTTTCCTCACCGTTACATAAAGCAGTTAACTCTTTATTCTGAACTATTCCATCAACTGAAGATGAGTTAGATAAATTTGCTCTCTTTGTTGGTAACCATGCCTATATTGTAAAAAGCAAATAAATGCAACCTGCAATGATTAAAATCAAACATGGCCTGATGAACAATAAAAGTAATTAACTCTTCTGAATGAAACAGAACCCGTACGTCAATTATTCTCCATGTTCTATACAAGCATAGTGTGTCGGTGGATGTGACTGGTAGAATGTTCGCCTGTCACGTACTTTTGGTTCCCGGTTGAAGCAACTCATCTAGTTTAATAGCCTCTACGACCTTCAGAAAAAAGGGAAGGGTGGGCATTAGACTAGCAATCCCTTAAAAATAGCACCTTAACTGAATCTTTAAAGCTCGAAGTTCTATGTTCCACTAGGAATGCGAAGGAATGAAATCAAGCGCTATAAAAGCATCGGTGATACTGACTGTCCGCAAAAAATAGAAGTTACAAGCTGGATATAAGCAGATTTCAGGAATCGGTCAGAGTCTAAGAGAAAACAATGCTCAGTGCCTAAGAAGTCTGATATCAGATTTCATTGGCTGTCTAAATAAACCGGTACCCATTAGATCATCGAATAACAGTCTCAAGTTTTCCAATCACAAAAACATTTGAGTGAACAGAATTCATGAAGTCCATAACGTCTATGATATTGTCAAAGTGTAAATCCTTCAGTGCATTATGCGCGAGATAGACAGCTTGCTCTTTCACGCACAATTCATTTTTATTATACAGTGGTCCAGGGATCCTGGATGAAAATGATAGTTGTAAAATTATTTCGCTCCACTCGAATTTCTTGCATACTAGTACTGACCGACAAAAATCATCTTCAGTATTGAAGGTAGGAATTCGATACCCTGACATTACGTATACAACAATAATTGGTGACTGAAAGTAAACGGCATGTTGCTGAGTTATTCATCAAATGACATAGGACTATGAGTAAACTAATATTTGGATGCATTTACTCTAATGTATTTGAATAGCCTAGCAACATGTCGTTTATCTTCCGTCCAAATGGTTTGCAGGGGAATATATGAAATTCACTGCAAGGCACTCCTAGCCTTCGTACGAAAGTCCTGACATCAGAGTAGAACATATACAATCCTTGAAGTGATTGATTACTAGCATTGTAAAATGGACCATAAATGAGTTTGGGAAATACCAGTGGGGAATCATATTGAACACACAACAAATCGATGTGTTGTTGATGCGATTAAGATTGAAAATCTAAACGAATATTTACTGAATAATTTCTGATATAGTTTAGAACTTGGGCAGATGATCCATGCATATTACAAATTGAATAGGACATTTGAACTGGTAATTAGGTCAACAAAGAAAGAGTTCTTATAAAAGTTGTTATTTGTTTTGTTAGCCTGCAATCAAAAGATAACTGTTACACTTTTATGTACTATTTATACATGCCGCTGCTATCAAATAAAAACCAGTAAACTAGCAATGCGCAAAGATCTAATGACCTTTGACACAATAATGGATATATTTTTGATAGCCCACCAAGTATAAGAAAGTAGGCGAATTTAAACTGACATGTTCCATCAGTTTTTGTTTATCATCCATCACAGAGAAATACAGTTAGTTAAATTGAGAACAGATATAGAGTGAGTGACCTTATGATAAATCACAACCAACAATATTTGACCCCTTAATCTATTCGACTTTAAAATATGAATACAAGTATATGCATACATGATGTATGTTTGCAGGCAAAGGGAGATGTTGCTTTGATTCAATTCTACAGAAAATAAATCATTAGATTTCGCATAAGAAGAAGACGCTACTAAAAAGAAAATAAGTTCACTTCATTCTGTCATGCTACAGAGAGAACAGAATCACCAAATGAAATAAAAATAGATGAGCTATAATATCATAAAGAATCGTGTAATTATCATTATTATTATCATCATTATTTATGCTCGATGGCTTGATAACAATAAAGCACATTCATAGGGTAAAAATACGACAGTATAAATAAATAGAATAGAATAACATGTTATATTACCACAAAGCTGAAGCATTATGTGTAATTAAAGCAAAGCAAACAAAGACTACAACAAATAAAACAAAAATACATACATATATACATATACATATATTAAATAAGCGAATCACCCACATGCATATCCATGCTATTTTCAAAAGTTCCAGTAGCAATATTAGCCTCACGTTTCATGCCCGCACGAACAATCGGTGTGTCAGTATTGCTGGGTAGACCATTTGCAGCATCACTTCTGATTGTCATACTTGATAGGTTGTTGTGGTCATTATTATTACTAGTATTATTATTATTATTATTATCAATAGATGTAACAGAAGTAGATGCAGCTAACGACCAATTAGTTGGTAGATTAGCCGCAGTATGTAGCTGTTGTTGTGGTGGTGGGGGTGGTGGTTGTTGTTGTTGAATAGATTGACACAGTCCAGTAGATGATTGTGGATTTGATAGACAATTCACCAATCGTGTAATAGCAGCAGCAGCAGCAGCATTGCAACCATTAAAGCTTAGCACACTTGGCTGAAATAATGCAGTAGTATTATAAGCGCAACAGATAAACGTGAAGTGCGCATACACGTGTACAAACGTTGAATCAGCGACCAAAAGAATGAATGAATGAGCGAGCGAGCAACAGCACGTCACCACCAGAGATGATTATATATATATATATATTTATGTACATATGCATACACATGTTGTGAGGATAAGGAAGGAGTGAAAATTAAATCAGAAAAAAGCAGCACAAAATGGAGAGCACGAATAATAATACTACTACTGCTATTACTATTGTATAATTATTAATTTAAGGAATAAAGATTAAACAAAACCGCCATTAAAAACAACAAACAAATAAATAACAATTTGCAACCAAAATATCACACGGATATCAAGCTTCATGATGTTAAGGAATTTCAGTTAATGATTGAAAATGTAAAGCATAATTACTTGATTATAATAAGGCCGACAACTAGCAATTTATTGTGTGCATGATGAGTACAGAGCCATGCTAGAACAATTTTTAAACTATTTTCATAAAATACAGACTAGTATCTATAATTGTGGGAGACAGTTACATAAGTAGAGCATTGTCCGACACAGTTAGATAAAGGAGTCAATCGTAAGGTCATCCATCAGAAGTTCCATATTGATACATCTTGTAGATACGGAGGACAAGACTGATAGGAATTCAGCTCTTATCACAATTCTATACCAGGTTCCACCTCAATTGTATACCTTCGATTGCAAAGTATAGGTGAAGCAGTTGCCATAGGATTTTTCGAGCCAGTCTCTGTGTTCAGAAAAATTTAAGTTCAATCGCCCTGCCTCCCATGGTGTTGACCTCCAACCTAGAACAGTTATCACTCCAGTTGACACTAGATAACTTTAAATATTATTTTCATTTGCACTATTAACTTTACCTTAGTTACACAATTTATTATTGCTATCCAGTCGCTATATGATAGTAGGTATTTTCCCCTCTGTCCTTACTAGTATACACATTCTATTTTATTCTATCAACTTACACTACTTCAAATGTTTATGACTAATATTTTATTATGTACTTGTAAAACCTGATGAAGAATTAACGAAAGTCAGAATTCACTAAAATCGTGTTCTATATCAAATAACGGCTTCACACAGGACATCTCAGTTGACTAGATGTTAGTAAAGCGATAAATATAATCAGATAGGGTAACTATTAAACACTGTGTTATAAATCCGATTTTTATGTTAGCGAGGTGGATACAAAAATATGGTGTGAAAAACATTAAACATCTACTGGTGTGTTCCAAACACTGCATGCATGGACTTCCCGGACCTGTATGCACGACAGAGATTATCTGAAACCACTGCCTCGAACGAAATCAACTCAACAGTTAAGTTGTTCAGATCGTAATGCATCGACAGAAACTACCATTGTGATTATTCTAATCAACAGTCCGCCTGGAGCTAAGGTAGAACAACGAATCAGCTTTTATCTGTGTATCTCCAAACCAAGTCAACATTTAATACTCTGGAAAAATTTGGAAACTGGGTGTACAATATTCATTGTTATAAAAGTTTGTATATTTCCCAGTGAATGAAAAACAAAACAACATTGTTTTTTAATGATGTTCCGTTATTTAATGCTAATAAATTTATCAAACTACTCAAAGCATCAGACACACTAAAAGGCAATCTTGTCTGTGTAAAAGACCAAATTCTAAAGCATCCACAATCTGATTGTGTCTATAAAATAAAGTGCTTGGAATCTGATGAGGCATACAGTAGACAAACCTCGTGAGAAATCAAGATCAGAAGAAATAAACACCGCAGAGCATCTATTCGATCACTGAGAAATCCAGTTGAACTAGAGAAACTTGAAAAATCATCTATACACTATAGAATCAGACCATAAAAATGACTGTGACAATAATGAAACCATCCAGAAAATTTTCAGAAATCCCACAGACGGTCTTATATCAGAAGCACTTAATATTAAATGGAATCCAAATTGTCTGAACAGGAAAGACGGACTAAGATGAAACTTGGCGCCGTCCCATTGCACACCCACCCATCATAAAGTGTCAAAATCAACACGAATGTCATCAGCAATTTCACTATAGAAACAGGTGCTATTTTTGTTATATCATACACTTATCAAATCCAACAACCTACGGATGGTATTGTTATGTTTAGCAGTTGCCAACTTGCCAACGTAAAAATTATCTCATGCTGAAGAACAATGAATATATAAGCTGAGATCTAGTAAATTCCTGTCTAATAATACTTTGGTAAAGGTATTAGCACTAAATAGCAGAACGCCAGTAAAACCAAAAAAAAATTTGTTTTTCATTCATTGGGAAATACAAAAAACTTTTACAATAATGAACAGCCTTTGTCTGATCGTGAAGTTCGTTTCAACAACAATTGTTTACTAAAGTCGCAGACAATCCTCGATACACAAGTTGCTATTCCTGCCTACAGCAATCAAATGCAATGTCAAAACCTTTAGGAAAATTCAACGAATTGCCGGTGAGATTTGCTCGAATAGCCTTGGATTAGTTTGTTAAATTCATTCGATCCAATTCCCAGGCTCTAGTAACTCCAGTGTTTCTATTTCACCTTCAGTCATCGCCCTTGACAAATCAAATATGTGACTGTTCACCGTGGGAATATGTTTAAATTTCAAACTATCCCCCGCCACACACACACACACACCTCACATTTGCATCTAAAAAGATACACGTAGAAATCGGTATAATGTGACAAACTATTTCCTTCGGTAACTGTATGTCAGAAACTATGACTAAATCAAAATAGAACGAATACAATTTTCTAGCATAGATGATATATAACAATGCAAAGTTCACACTTCGGCTTTCTCGTATTGTATAAAGAAGACAGAATTTTTCTACCAAGGCATAGTATGTACCGAAAATAATGAACAGCGTCCCATACAGCCTGGTGCTTCGGTGGTAGAATGCTCGCCGACTATACACGTGGTCCAGGGTTCGATTAATAGCCAGCACAGACCTTTACCTTCACTAGCTGGTTGTAAACCCAACAAAGAGGTGAGGTTGGGTATGCGGCTAACAACTCCACCCGGTTAAAACTAATACAGCTGCCACTGAAACTTTGAGGCACAAGCTCGAAACCCAAGGTTCAACTTGGAAAGCAAAGGAATGAAATCAAGACAAATAATAACATTATCTAATGAATACGATTTTGACTGATTAGTGAAGAAAGAATACTCTTTTCGATAACTTCTTCCTCTTCACGTTCTACGGTTATATGAATCCATAGTCATTAAAGAATCATTGTTTTCTAATTTGAACTCAGTAATTCGCTTACATATTGACACGCACACACACACACACGCACATATCAAGCTTCTATTCTATCGCCTCTCTATGTTTTTGATATGATCATTTACCCACATGTAATTTATAAAACCGTATGTGAATAGAATTCAATATGAACTTTGTTGATAAGCGCTGATCACCACATATTTTCGTTGTTATTATTATTATTATTCATGGTCATTTACTTTTGAAATCTGATGTTCAATTTAGTGTTACATTTATGCATATTATCCTATAGAGGCATGTTTTCAGCTATTATAATCTATTCACAATCTCTATTCGCCTACTATCGACTATTTGACCTATTTTAAATATGATTAGACATCCGTATGTACTTTTGTTTTTTTTAGGTAACTGAGTAATTGTCATGCACTTTAATTAATTTTATTATTGTGAACCATGTCAGTTGGTTGTAAAGAGGTTGTGAAAAGAAACTACGAAATGATGCTATCATCTCGTGAAAACTGTTTTCTCTGTGCCTTATTCAAATTAATGTTGTCGTTAATACTAACAATAAGTGTTCTTAATTATTATGAACACATGTAGCTGTAGAACCTCAATAGGAAGATAATCAGTCTTTTGAAATTTCTGCTGAGTATCTTTGATCGCTTAATAGAATTTAACAAAGTATAACTGAAATAATTTTGTGAAGAACACGAATTGGTTAATAGAAGTTCTGGCGTAACAACGAGTATTTAAAATGTTTACAGCTTGGGATAAATTCATATATATATATATTGTATATATATACAACTTGGGCACTGTGTTAGTATTTATTTATTTTATTTTTTATTACAGCTTAATTCCACACTGTATTTTTGGTACAGTTATGGAATTTTCAGTATGTGATATCGGTAGCCCAAATTTTGCAGACCAACCATAGATATCAGGTGTGCGTCGGCAGGGGATCGAACCTCGGACTATGTGCATGGTCGGCGAGAGTCCTAACCACTGTGCCACCGACGCATAGTATTATTTGTTTATCTATGGTCGGCCTGCAAAATTTGGGCTACCGATATCCATGCTGAAAATTTCATACTTGTACCAAAAATACGGTGTGGAATCAAGCTGTAATCAAAAATAAAATAATAAAGAGTGAAACAGTATTATCCACTGGATAACAGCGTCTCTAACACAATTTATTATTCTTCATAATCATGTCACTTATAACCACACAAATTCGAAACTTTCGTTTTATAAATTTCTCAATTCTTTCTTACTTGTAGTACGGGTAGTAGAATTCTCCAGATATTCAGGTGGACAGGCGCTGACTCATAATTCCAGTTGCACGTATGTTCATTTGATTAAATAGAAATAAAGCTCCCGTTATCAATCTCCCCCTCCACTCTCTCAATATTAGACTTTAGAGTCATCATGTTATTGTATACTTGAAACTGCATTTACTTCTATGGAAGAACTATTCTCCAGATTTCTCATCTTATTAGGGCCCACTAATCTAGATTTTCATGTTAGGTGTTTTGTGCTGCTCCGCTAGTCTGACTGACCTCGTTCTACTATTTACACCCCTGTGTATGTAACCTGACAATCATTCAGTAAACTGAATTGTTCTAGTCAATGGGCTCCACAGCATCCTTTAACCAACAAGGCTTGTTTTCTAACTGACTTTGTGGGTTTCAATGCCAGCCACTTTTATTCCTTATTAGTTTTTTTATTAGATGTATCACACAGTGTGAAACAGTATTATTATTTACTGAATGACAAAGTTTCGAACACAATTCATTATTGTTCATAATCATATCAATTGTAATCACACGACTTTGAAACTTGAGTTTTATAGCTTTCTTTGTCTTCTCCTATTTGTTGTAGGGGTAGTAGAATTTTCCAGATATCTGCCTGGACAGGTGTTGAATCATTCCTATTACATGTATTTGCAGTTGATTCGATAAACAAAGCTTCCGTTACCAATCTCTCCCTCCACCCTAATACATTAGATTTTAAAATTGTCATCGTATCCCATCCAGCCTATTGTATGGTTGTGTATTTGCATATAGTGAGTGGTATAGCTGAAGTATTCTCTAGATTTCTTATCTTATTCGGGTCAACCAATCTAGATTTTGCTGCTAGGTTTTTATGTTCGGCTAGTCTGACTGCTCCCTGTTCTACTACTTTAACCTATGTATTTGACCTGACAATCATTGCAGGTAGGGAATTCGATAAACCAAATTGTTTTGTTTTAACGGCTCCACAGGATTGATCGTTTAACCGACAACGCTTGTTTCTAATTGAGTTTGTGGTTAGTTTGAATACCAGCCAATTTTATTCCTGCCTTGTTAAGAATTCTGTGTAAGGTTTCCGAGGTTCCTTCATTGTATGGAATTATTACTGATGATTTAGATTCCTTATTGTTGGTGTCGTCATTAATATTGTTATTAATATTAATATTGTTATCATTATTATTGTGCCCAAGTTTCGCACATATATTAACTTTTATTCCTTTACTGGTACGGATTCTGCATACGGTTTTTCGAGGTATCTTCAGTGCATAGAAGTACTACTGATTCCTTATTGTTAGTATTTTCCTCATTCTGGATAGATTTGTCATGCATGTCGCCATTATTATTGTTATCGTCAGTATTACTATTATCGTCGCTACCATTATTACTATTCATTTCATTTTTACACTTTCCTACATACTTCCTGATTAATTTTTATCAGAGTAATAATTAGGTTTCAAAGCTCCTCTTATATGCCTCACTTCCTGTCTTAGATTTTTCTCGGTACTATTTAGTTTTTGTGCCCTATTACTTGAACATTTCACCAATCCTATTTTTACTGACATAGTATAAGCTAAACACTAGTGTTTACAGATAACCCACACATTCAAACTGATATATGGATTTCGGATCATCCCCTTTCCTGAACGATAAGAAAATATTAGGCAATAAATTCCGCTGCAAATTCTCCACATTATAAAAACACTGTCTAGAATAAAGCTATTATGATTATCACAGGAGAACACTGTATTCTACTGCCTACTTGTATTGTCGGACTTTTAATTCCAATCTTCATTCATCTTTTATACTTATTAAAACTGATTAGCAAAACGGCATCTACGGCATTGAAGACAAAATCTCATCGCCTTTTAAAATTGTAACCTGGATCACTTAGTATTGAAATCAGAGATGTTTTCAATGAACACCTCCCACTGATATTGGTCTTCCCATTTCATCAGTCCACTAAGTATTACACACATTCTAAATACATGCCTGAAGACACATTTTTCATCATTCAGTTTTATCTACAATCGGTCATTTACCAGTTATCAATGTTCAGCTCAGTTAGGTTGGATGATGAATCGCCTGTCGGATAAGCAGGGTTCCACACAGTAAATACTACCGTTATCCGGTCATGTAACATGTTAAATTTAGGTTAATTACAAGAATATATCGCAAGCTAAACTGAATTAAATTGGTCTACATAAAGCACTAAGAATGCATTATTATTATTATTATGTAGAATCATGCAGGAATTCATGTCAAAACTGGAAAGCAATAAAAAACCAAGTCGACAAACAACAATGGACTAAGAATGCAACGCAACCAACTAGAATTAGCAGTTATCTTGATTCCTTCACTATTTGATTTTTACTGACAACAGTTTCACAGTGCCTGTTCTTATAGATGATTAAGCAACAAATTTGCAAGCAAAACGCAGACAAACAACACTTTGCCTTGCAAGCTGTTAACAACGGCGAAAACGTATTCAACGACAACAATAACAACAACAACAACAATAAACTAGACATTTAAGCGACAGATAACGGGATTCCAACAAGTATGATCATAGTCAACACATATCATCAATAAACCATGAATAATGAGAACAACTAAATTTGTTAAATTAATGACTCACCTCTGATGTGAAAACTGTCGATGTATCACCATTTTTACACGATTTAGACAGCATAGATTCATGGGAATATGTTGAACCACCAGTTAATGAAGAAGACGTAGACAGAAGACCATGACCTGGAAGATTATTATGCTGTAGAGCAGCTGCTGCTGCCAATATAGCTGATGCACTAAAAGAATTTGGATCTGTTAGAGAATTCAGAGGTGTTAAATACGTCCCATAAACTGGTCCACCACCTAGAGCAGTAGGCTGTAGGAGTGTTGTTGAAGGCGGCCATCTCAGAGTTGAAGGACAGCCTCCTCCTCCTGCTCCTGCTACCGAACTAAGCGCTGACAAACCGGTGGAGGGGAGTGTCTGTTGCAAGGGCTGTTGCATTGAAATGAGATTGGATGTCTAATTGAAGGAATAATTTAGTATATATCTATATAGTTAAATATTGGTAAATAAAAACTTCATATATTCAACTATTCATTAATGCATTTTTCACGAAAGAATATATAAGTGATAAATCTAAGTCCACAAAATTGGCACAGATTGTCATTTTATCAAAAAGCAGATTTATCAACATCGTCATTTCATCACGCCAATAATCGCAAAACAATAACTTAGATGAATAGGAGTAAGCAAAAATAAAAAAGTTGAGTTGATGTGATATTGGTAAGCGGTCGGCATATAACCATGGTTACACACACACACACACACACACACGCGCGCGCATACACGCACAAAAACACGCAAACAAACGAGAGTCATTACAGTATCAGTAGTGCGCATCATAAAATGACTATTGGTCCGTACTATAACGATAATATTATTATTTTTTTGTTTTGTAATGTGATTATAATGGTAGCACAAGATAAAAACGGACCTGCCAAATAGCTGTGCACATCTGGTGAATAAATATTTGAAACAAACGGAGGGGGTGTATAGCGGAGATAAACAGACAGGCAAAATGGATAGACAAACAGACAAGAAGTATACTCTGTTAATAATGTCAATGTATCAATTGTCAGCTAAGGTCATAATATACACATATACATCTCAAACAAACAAAGAAAAGTATAACAGTAATGAAAGTTTCTCTCAGAATGTGATCACATAAATCAAGAATCTGTCCTGAAATAGTAGGCAATAGAATTATCAAGGACGTCAGTGATACAATGGTAGAATGCTCGTCAACCACACATATCTTCCGGGGTTCGATCCCTGGTCGACGCACGCTTAAACTTTACTAAGCTAGATGAAGAGGGGAGGGTTAGGCGGGAGGCGAACAACTCCATTCCGTAAAAGTAAAACTGTTGTAACTGAAACTTCGAAGCTTAAGCTTGAAGACTTGTATTTCCCTCGGAACGCAAATGAATAAAATAATAAATAAAATGAAAGGTTTGATAGTGTGAAATATTCCCATATTATGAATTAAAAGTCAATCTGAACGAAGAATATTCTTTTCAATAATTTCTCCTCTTCAGGTTCTTACAATTATCAAATATAATATTTGTTGTCGTTACAATAATGATAGCCAGTTATGTGGCGGATACATTTTTAACGTAGAATAACGGATTAGTTATGGGGTGTCAAAATAAATAGTCATATTTGTGTGACAAACGTGCTAGGCTGAAATCGACCACAAAATATTGTAAAACGGAAGACAATTGTGGTGGTTAATCATAACAGAATTGTAGAGTGTGGGGTAGGAAAATTGACAAATCAGTTCAAGGTTATAAAAGGTGTCAGATGAGTGGTTAGTACAAAGTGGTCTGAGTTAAACAGGAGATAGTAAGACTGCAATGAGAGGTTCATAATGAGATAACGAATATGTTAAATGAAACAGTTGGAGGCATATTTTGAGAAAACAGATAATATCACTAATAATAAGTCCGTATAAATGAAAAATTCGATAGTATTGAGGGAATGTTTGCATGAAGGGCATAAATTATGACGAATAATTAATAATAATAATAATTGTATTAATAAGCGAAGGAAAAAAAACCAAGAGGGTTAAGGGGAACGAGTACTCTTGGTGAGAAAAAGAATCATCAATCCAAGTTTGGCCACGGTAGGAACAGCGTCTGGACGTGTTCTTTTTGGATACAAAGTTCCGGTTTAGTCGATCTTATTACAACAGCTTCAGCTATGTGTAGGAGACGTAAGCGAACTGTACGTGATAACGACTTCGGAATTCGGTATATAACCCTGAAAGCTGTGTTGACATCGATGCGATGTCCAGTATCGACCAGGTGTGACAGGATCGAGCTTTTTATGCACTTAATATCCCTCCCGCATCGCTATCTAATTGATGTGATAAACAATGGATTGTAGTCTCAGCCACCTACTCAACCCTTCCTTTTCTCGGGATTATTACCGCCTAGATGGGGTTTAAGAGTGCGTCAGTCGGGGGTCGAACCCGGATCACGTTTGCGGTTGCCAGGCGTGTTCTACCATTGGATAACTAACGCACAAAGTCATAGTTAATTATATCAAAAGAGGCAAATTAAAAATTGTTTCATGAAAAGGATTCCCAACACGTCACTGCAGACTTTTATAAAAATTCACCACCTTCTCTGGCTCCATACTGAAGATCAAATGGCCACCCGGCCAGAAGGAATTAGCAGCAAGAAACTCTGGCTGGCGACGAACCAACCAAGAGCCGATTGCTCAACAAATATGTAGGAGGAAATGGAGACGAATCAGACATACATTGAGGAAGCCATCGAATGACACCGTGCGCAATGCAGGTCATCGCTCAAATGGAATCCGAATAGGAAGCGACGAGCGGGTCGTCGGTGGAGGGAGATCGTATGGTGAGGAGGAGATGAGAGATTATGGGGAGTCGTGGACCCAGATGAAGGGGACAGCAGAGAACAGAACAAAGTGGAGATGTGTTTTTAAAGCCCTATGTTCCGCTCGGAACCCAAGGGTGTGTGTATTCGAAAGTATTATTGCTAATACATACAGATACAAAACAAACATAGCTCAATGAAAATAAAGACGATTAAGAATGAATTACCTTCAATTCAGATAAGCGTTGTTGACTTTCCAACAGTTTTCTTTGTTCATCACCACGTTTTATAATTGCTTCAGTTTGATGTGGAGGTGGATGATAGTATTTACAGTAGGAAAATTTGCAGAGCCTCCTCTGTGTAGAAGAAAATAGGTATGTGTGTAAAGGAAAACATGTTAATGAACACATATGAAGGCAGAACAGAAACAGAACAATAAAAATAATAAAACAATAAAAAATAATTATTATTATACAAAATGTATAACCTTCGCTGTCTTTTCTTATATAAGATATATTCAAAGTACTTGTGTACAGAGCAGCAGTTCGATGTCTCCTTCTAAATGGTTTTGAGACATGGCCATTAAAAGTAGGAGGTGTAAAAATTCAAATTGTCTTCGATTGCAAATAATTGCATTTTGTCTCCCGTCTTAAGTGATATAATGTTATCTTATTGCTTTACGTTCCCAATGGAACATAGGACTTCAAGATAGAGCTTTGAAGTTTCCGTAGCAGTGTTTATTTTTATTTTCGGGATGGGGTTGCTAACCTCACGCCCAACCTTCTCTCTTTACTGCTTTTACTACCGGTCTAGCGAGGCCTAGGAGTGCACTGACCAGGGATCGAAACCCGAACCACATGAGTGGCTGGCGAGCATTCTGCCACTGAACCACCGACGCACTAAGTTACATAATAATAGTGAGTAATTGTGAAGTTAGGTGTAGTGTTAGATAAGGAGAAAAAATCAGCCGATGGATTGAGATGGCTAGGACATGTGTTACGCATGCTCAGCCATAGCCTTCCTCGAGTGGTAATGTTAGCTGATATAGAATGAGGCTGGAAATAAGTTAGGGATGAGTGCGTCAAAATGAGTATATCAGATCCATGAAATCTTAAGCAGATGGCTTGAGCCACGTAGGGAGGTGTAGACTGCCAGATCTGGGCCCTTGAAATGCTATAAACCAATAACTTGAGACCATTGGATTGGGAACAGAGATCAAAACTGTTCTCAATGGCGCAGATGCATTCACTCATTGCAGTCTCCTGCATTAAGTTCTCGTATTTCTGCATGTGAGCATTCTTTCGTCTACACATCTCTGCTTATTATATTTCGTTTGAATCTCTTTCTTTTCTCTCTTTTCCTCTACCTTTGTGTGCTACACGGGGTGTGGTCACTTGAAGTATTTCACTTCTGTGCAAAATTCTATTTTGGCACTCAATCGGTCATACAAAATATATATCAGCAAATAATCAGTTTTAAAACAAAGTGAGTCCAGTCACATCCAAAGAACCTTCTAATTAGTTTGAGCACTAAATTAACGATTTCAGTTTATTTCTGTAGACATTCAACATGACCACCACACTATTGTCAACAAGAAAATTTTGTCCAACTGATATAAACTGCTGACGAAGTTCCCCTTCCCAAATAAATCAGTGGAAATACAGAAATCAAACTTCCACCTATAACTCGGATACAACACCGGCTATCAACTATTGGATGACAAGTTCACGTGTCACTCCACCCATTGAGGTATCCAGACACATTGACAACATATAACTCATGTGACTGTGACTGAAAACATCTATCTTTTCACACTGAATGCAAACAATGCACCAATCCTACTATGTTTAAAAATCGCTTTGAAACTCCATACTTATGTCCTCCGACTTTCAATTCGTTCTGTCTCCGGCTTTCAGTGGTATAATATAGTCTGTAATATCCAGGTTATGCACAAAGTGTTAGGTAATGAGAGAGTCAGCGAGTGGAGATATAGCTCATTCAGGCACTGGCTGACGAATCTGAGTCCTGCTTCACCTACTTCAGATTAGGCAATTGGATAGTATCACCAGCCGTCACACAACACATGTGACTAACCCTGCTAGTTAGGCTTAAACGAACAAAAACATATTCTGTATACTACACTTTTCAAGTTTACTTCCATAGTTTTTCAATTCACGAAAAAAAACAGCTAAACCTAATAGTCAATACATTCTGTTATACTAAACGAGCTTTTTTTTTATTGAAAATGACTAGAACAGAAACCATGTCATTATGCACACTACAGAGAATTTTGTTGTATTCTCACTATTTAAAACAGCAATAAAATTTTATCGTATTGTCATAAATGGATTTTTCACATGAATTGTGACTCACAGGTTCACTCTATAATGACGACAGGTTTGAACTTAACTTTAACTGTGAAAAAAAACATGAACAGTCAGATTGTATGACTGACCCTAAAACATTGATGGTACTGCTTTCTTAGTGCTTTTGAGCATATACAAAGTGAGTGAGTCACATTGTTTGCAAACAACAAGATAATAAATAATTCAACAGATAAACGGTTTGTGATAAACACCAGCATAAAGTTCAATGATGAACAACATTGGAATCCATCATATGAGTAGAAAAATAAAAGGTATTAGAAAACAAGTATGCAGTAAGAACCATTCTTAGAATAATTGTGTTATCTATCGATCGATTATTATTTTAAATCTACATATGCGAGTCATAATATCGACCAATCCAGTATGCTTTACGCAAAAAGCTCATAGTGGAAACAATAATTCATACAAACGAGACTGAGAAAAACAATGACGTCCGGATTCTAAGTAAAATGAAGACATAAAGAAATGAATATTAAAAATTTGTACACAAAATGGCGTGAGATTACTTCTATTACAAATCAGAATAACTTACACAAAAGTCATGAAATATATAATCATTACTATTCACAAGAATTCACAGTCTCCCACCAAAGAAATTGGAACAAACCTAAATACGACGAACGTTTACTATTAGAACCAAATGAAGCCTCACAACCAACTGGTACATTAGCTGCTGACGCTTTAATGAGTATCCCACAGCCTGGAGCTCGCATAGACAATCAACCATCCTCAGAAGAAGGAATTAATAACTATCCAGAATTACGAAAAGATGAAAGCGATCACTTAACAGGAAACACATTCTACCAATCATCTCTGGAAAATCCAAATATAGTTCATCCAACTGTTGATCAGAATACTCAAAATCAACCAGCTTCACGTATTTCTATTCGAGAAGAAGAGAAATACTTCATACCTAGCAGTCCAAAATCAAACGCTCCAAGAATGATACAAAGTGAAAATGGTCGTACAGTTCCTGAAAATGCTTTTCGTCGTTTAAAGCATATGGGATTAGCAGAAGACGCAACCGAGAAACTGCCTGATTTACCACCTCCTGGTGACCTTGGCGCAAATGGATATCCAGAATTAAAGAGTATTGGTAAAAAACCGACCAAGAAATATCCAACTAGCAAAGAATATCAACTGACACGATGCCTATGCTGTTGGACAACATTTATAATGATTGTCATCGGACTATGTGCTATTGGTACATTAATTTTGGCAGGTATATTGTTTGATGCAGAATGCCTAACAATAAGTATAGGTCTAGTGATCTTGAATTTATTTATTTTAATAATAATAACTTTAGAATGGATAAGAATGTGGCTTTGGCGTGAACCTTCAGAAAACTACAAGTGCAAAAATTCACGAGCTGCATCTTTCTTAGTCCCTAAGGAGAATGCAGGGTCTGGATCTTTAGAACCATCTATAGGTATTGGATTTCCAAATATAACCTCACAACCGATGGTCATGCCAGCTTCTCTGTTGGGATATACATATTCACCTGTTTCGAAAAACCAAGGTGGCTTTCTTTCTCCGGGACCTCAGCAACGTCTATATGATATACCACAGTTTGTGTCTGCTATATGTTTATTGATATTATACATTTTTGCGGCGATTTGTATATGTGTGACATTTTCAGAGTCAAAAATGAAGGTTGACCAGTGTAAGTCAATTTCAGCAGTTGGTTTGGGTTATAGTATCATGTTAGCTATTCTCATTGTCATACGAATGTTACTGTGTTGTCGAAGTGATGCATGCCAAGGATTGTGCTACACAATGAAAACCAAAAGTTCTGATAGACGTGCTTTCGTCCCGATTGTTGCTGTAAACCAGTTGCACCAAGTACTTCCAGGCTTAGGACAAATGCATGCAAGTGGTAATGGTAATACAAGAAACTCTCAGCCAACAGGATGGCTAAACAATTTAGCAATATCTTCTGATCCTAGTCAACAACTAAGCATGATTCAGCCAATGCCTGTCAAATTCTCGCAAGATATTACACCTTAGAAAGATAGAGATGATTGTTCTATAAATAGGATAATTAATGGGTTGAATTAAATATACTCTAGTAGCAAAAACTTCCTTATTTCTATGACATGACTAAGAGATGCCTTTACTAATAAAAAACATGATTGAATGAAATCAGACTTCTTCTTAAATCATCTAAAAAGTAAACTTGTAAACTTTAGGAGGAAAGAAGTAATTATTATTAACTCAGGAAAAACTCACTTTGATAAAATCATAACATACTGTCACATAACCTTTATCCACCCGAACAGTTGCCGGTGGATGGGCATACTGACATGTATTTCCCGATATTGCGCAATGAAAACTTTTTTCATCCTCATGATGTGTTAAATTTGAAGAACTAGCATCACTTGTATTGGATTCTTCTGATTTTATGGAACATTTAGTTTCACCAGTCTTTGATTCATTGTCAGATTGGTTAGAATTAGTTTGTGAAGAATTAGACGTTCCCAAAACTGATGTACACACGCGTAGCTTAAGCCAACGAGAATCTCTGCTACCTGATGAAGTATGATTTGAATAAACTGGTATAGGAGATGCTGAGGTATGTTGAGTAGTTGGAAAACCATTGGAGGTAGAATGTAAAGAGACGAGAGATGATGATAATGAAGAGGATCCTGATAAACTGGAATTATTCACACTGCTGAAATTCAGGGTATTTTGATGATTCTGAAATCCAGGTGTAGTCTGAATAGAGAAGGTGACTGGTGTAGACTGAGAAAGATTATTAGAATTCGCAAATCCTGTGATAGCTAACAATGGTTTCGTAAGGAATGGTACGGCAGCTTGATAAGATTTACTTGGTTCCGAAACGACACTTGACGAACAGGGAATCGGGAACGGGTTCGTAAGTGGAGAATGCCTTTAGATAAAAAATTAGACAATTAACAAACATTGTTTATAATTAGAATGTAATGCAGTTATTCAATGTGTAAAAACCAGTGTCTAAAAATCGTCTGTTTCTTGTGAATACATAAATATGTATAAAAATTGTACTTCAATGCATTCGAAGGATATATGTTGGAAGAAACCAGCCGAGACTGCCAATCTACTTAATGATGATAATAAGAGCAAAGCAGACGCCGCTTCACATAACAGACTATTCAGCTATCGATGATAATCATAGAAATACACTAGAATTTATTTTGCTACTGTCATACGGAAACATGGCATATTTTAAAAGCCACAATACAGATGTGGTTTTAAGAAGGGGGGGGGAGGGAATTGAAATTTACACGCTACATGCCTCAACCAACTATCGCGATAGTGATTTGAAGTACTGAAGCGTCAAATCATAATATCGATTTTCCACCAAAAAGTTAGTAGATGGACAAAAGTGAACACTGAAACCAATCCAATACATTTCCTAACAAGCACTTGTTATCGCAAAAGAGCGGTTATAAGTCTGTGAACCACGCTTTTCATTTTCTTTAAATATTTTGATATAAGTATAAAACTTGGGCACTGTGGTAGAGTATAATTCCATTATAGATAAGATTTTATTCTGATAAATCGCACAGTGTTTACAGTTATATGAACTGATCAGTTCATATAACTGTAAACACTGTGCGATTTATCAGAATAAAATCTTATCTTTAAATATTTCCCCATAGAGCATCAGATTAACGACATTGATAGTCCAATATTCACGATTAACTTCGTGAATAACTTCGCGGATGCCCGGCGCTCTCCACCGGGTTGACTGTCCATTGGATGACGGTCTAGGGGAGATGGCTAAAACCCTGATTCCAAACCTCCAACGACTGGCGTATGAAGCTCACTGGAGCTCACCGGCAGACGTATGGACAAAGGGCTTGTTGGATGTCCTGGATGTCTGGCCCCATTCAAAAAGGCGTATGAACCGAACTCCGGTCACCGGCTGTCAATGGATAGTGGACTCCTTACTCCACTCCTACTGCCTTGTAGGTCACACTTGGCTGTGTAAAGGCTAGAGCTGCACTCTCAAACAAAAGGCCGAGCGATGCTGGGGACATCACTCGTACCAAATTCCCATGAAACTTCATGAACTCTCTTACAAATTGCCGTGCCTGTGCAGCGATGATTCGAGACGTTCATGAAGCCGGCTCATCCTCCCGTAGGAGATAGCCGAAGTAAAAGAAAAAAAAAAGAAAAGAAGAAGATTAACTTCGTGCAGTTCTACGGAGTTAATAAATGGTCGGGTTCACTAAGTCAGGAGTGAGAAGTTACCCGACAACAATATTGCAACTACATGGAGAAGTGGTAAAAGTTGAAAAACGTGACTTATCGGTCTATGATATGATGTCTGAATGGTGACATGACATTTCTGAATTTTAACAAGTTTGAGCACTCCTGAAGAGTCCTAAGATGCAAAAGCACATTCACATTTTCGGGAGTGTTTTATGTGTAGTACTATGGAGATCATAAACAACCTAGAAAATAAACCGACGACTAACGCCGTTTATGTGATCCTATTCCAACTTCTCTGTGCTCACAATGAAGATGATACATTGCAGTCAGTTAATGGTGAATTGGGTACTTGTTTGAATTTTGATACTACTTTGTGTACTAGATTTGTTATGAGTTTTAGAAGTTATCATGACAGTCCTATAGGCTGAAATAATAGGTATATGTATTAACAACTCTTTTTCCTCCTGCTAAATATTGATTTGGATACAAAGGTACCTACTAGTTTTTCAAAAAACACCAACGAATGTTTACACTTTGGTCTGTCTGTCTGTTTTCGACATAGAACTTTGCACATATGTGCACCAGTTCAAGTCGCCACACTCCCTCCTTGTAGCACACAAAGCAAGAGAAGAAAGTAGAAGAAATGCATAATAGAGACAGTAAGCAGAGGTGTGAGACAAAGGAAGGGTAATAACGAAGAACAAAACAGTTTCATTGGAAATCATAAGTCACAAGGAGTGGATGCATCTGCACTAGCCATTGAGAACGATTTTGAGCCATGTCACCAATTGTTTCCAACCATTGTTTTTACCGTCCCGAGAACCCCAACCAGTCAGGAAGTCTACACCTTCCTACGTGACTGGCTTAAACTAACTGTTGTGGATTTCATTGACTGGTACCATGTTTTGGTTTGACCGCCGCTAGCTCTTTTCCAGCCTCACCCTATATCCGCTAACATTGCTCGTCGAGGAAGGCGATGACTAGGCATACGTAACACATGTCCTAACCACCTCAGTCTTTGTAACTTCACAACTTCGTGGATTGATTTCCCCTCTTTACCTAGCACTCATCCGACGCCTAACCTCAATATTGCTCACCTTATTATGCCACTTCACACGGAAGATAGAACGCAGGCACCTATGATCAAAGACAGCTAATCTTTTCATGTCCTCTACCTTCAGTGGCCAGGTCACACAGCCAGCCATAAAGGAGGACGGAGCGAAGTGACTGCTGAACTTTACACCCGCTCTTTGGTCGATAGTCGGATATCTCGTCTACGCCAGAGATGGCGTAAACTGGCATATGGGAAACTAGCCCCCTGTATCCGTGCTGAGATTTCGTCTTTGGACCTACAAGATCCCATGATGGTAGTGAGTAAAGTTGTTTGTGGTTAGGAGATATCGCCTATCAGACTGACTTTCTGAGAGATTCTCGTAATTCCTTATACCCGGCTTTTATCGCTACATGGGTATCACAAGCTTGCGCAAAACATCAACATAGCAAGGCCTGGTAAAGACAATGAGTAAGTAAGATAGGAGCAGGAATTACATATGTCAAGATTAACAAGTTTTCCTAGATCATCAGGTCTACCGACAACTAGAAGCGGGACCTAAGTGAAGCTGTTTTTGAAGCGAATGATACGCTGAACTTCCACCTTCAATGATACCTGAAAAGTTGGGGGGAACAACTTAATTGGGAATCAAAAGATATCCCTTAAGCTTTATTACATCATCATTACTATTTCTGTTCATATTTCTGAGAAGCTTCAGAAGTATCATCTGTTATAACGCTTTAAGGTCATCGCGAAATTGTCATGTGGATAACGAATAAAGTGGAAAAACTAAAACTGATTTATTAATTAACAAGGAGTAAAAGACCAGTCAAACTACTGTAAGCTGATAATAACCATACAATACACAATGAATTCCCGTTATGAGTATAGGATTATCTCCTGGTCGGCGGGTGAAATGCCTAAAATGTAGAAATGAGGTGCAAACTAACACGCAAACAACTGTCAATCAAGCACACCATTGTATCATTTCAACTGTCGCAACAGTTTGAACTCATTTAACTGGTACAAGTGCCTCATATACTAGATTAAAGGCTCCACATGATATGAGAGATGATGATACTATCCAATAGTCCGGAAAGAAATAAGTGGGGCGGGATCATGACACGGAACTCTGACTAAGGACCAATACCTTGGTGAGCCACGTCTCCATAACAACTATCGTGGAGTTGCGGCTCAATGGCCTAGACGCCCAACTTTAACCCCTCTCCATTTACTGAGGTTTACGTAGACAGAAAGTAACACTGGTTCTCATGCAATAAGTGTGGCTTAGTGTTAATTGTATGGGAATACAAGTGTTTGCTGAGTGAGTACACTGCTGGTAGCAGCTACTATCTCTACTGAAGGGAACACTTCACCGACAAAATAATGCTACCTGATCTATGAATGAACAGTTCAAGTTTACGTGTTATGGTCTATCTGATGTCTTATAATCTACTGACAACTATTTTTCAGGCAGGAAAACCTTTATCAGTTTCTCATACGGATACACAAAACAGTTGATCTTCAACCGACACATACACTAGTGAAACCATGTACTTTTTTATACTAACTCTAAGCATGAGTTGTAGCCTCATACACAAATCCGTAGCCTAATTTTAACTAAGTCTATACACCACTGTGCGTTATTCAACTTGCTAGTGTTACATAGCGTCAGTGGCACAGAGTTAGAATGCTCACCAACCACGCCTCACGTGGTTCGGAGTTCTATCCCTGGCCGATGCACTCCTAGACCTCACTAAGCCAGTAATAAGACTGGTAAATAGGGAAGATTGGGCATGAGGAGGCTAGCAACCCCATCCAGTAAAAATAAACGCCATTGCTACTGAGACTTCAAAGCTCTGTGTTGAAGCCCAATGTTCCAGTGGGAACGTAAAGGTATAAAATAAAAAACACACGAATAAAGTGCTACATAATAAAGGCAATTTTAATTATGTAAACAATTTTTTTATTCACAGCTTGATTCCACACTGTATTTTTGGTACAAGTATGCAATTTTCAGCATGGATATCGGTAGCCCAAATTTTGCAGGCCGACCATAGATATCAGGTGTGCGTCGGCAGGGGATTGAACCTTGGACCATGTGCATGGTCGGCGAGAGTCCTAACCTCTGTGTCACTGACGCACATATCCAACCATCCTAGCTATGACAGATTATTACCCAAATAATGTTAATCTCCTCTAATCCTTATGTAAATGCGGTGAAGCTGAACAATCAGCCAAAATCACAGTGACCTTGAACAACCAATCAGAATTCAGATGCAAAATATCTCATAATTGGAGAAAAATGTTTTTAAAAACATTGTAAACATGATATTACACTGTATAATTGTCGCTTATGTGTTGTTAGAATGTCTCCAAGACACTACACGGATTATCTATGCAAAAAGCATACCATGACTAAATTATGGTACTTTGTGATCCACTGACATTCCTGACAATGTTCTCTAACCTATTCAGATAAGTTCACTTTTACCAGCCACCACCAAGGACGTTATAAATATTCTTGAACAGCTGCTCATAGTAAACCAACTCTAAAATTAATGAATTTCTAGATAAACTGTATTCCAACACATACAGACAACCCCTCCTCCTAAAGGTGAAATTAAGCTTTAAGCACCAGTGGGTGCTAACGTACAAATGACCTAGAACACACCAACCACGTGATGATAATAATAATTTGCTTTATTCCAAAACAGTACTTGTGATGCAGAATGGAATTCTCAACATTTTACTACAGTATTGCATTCAGTTAGCACATTATCAATAAATAAAATTCTACACAGATTAAGAAAATCTCAGTTCATTATGACAACATATTGGTATGTCGGTAGCAAAGCCAAAAATTGAACAGTGTTGGAAGGTATTAGAAAAGTTGATGCTAGCATATTTACTGGCTTAAGCAGAAGAAAGAATGAGAAAAGGAAAAGAAAGAAAAAACGTTGTACCTATAAATGATATGAATTAGGAAGATGAGATCCATCTGTTCTACTGACTATTTAATAAGTTATAGGTATCACGCCTAGTGCTTTTTTTATAGCACAGAACACGAGCTAATTAGGGTAGGGTTGAGTTTTTGTACTTACTAGTGCGATCATATAATTTTCTATATAGGCTTCTGGTTTCGCCTAATGAGATACTGGAGGAGAGTTGTGAATGAAGAGGGTGGTGTGAGTTAGATAAAATGGATTGAGCCCATTTTTCACATGAGTCCATGTGCCTCTCAACCAGAATATTAACAACCTGGTTAAGTGGCATGTTGCTTACTCTGCTGACAACCTTCAACATCCTGCGTAACAAGGCATAGTCTTTCTTCAGTAGCCCAGGAAAAACTAAGGGGGAACAATAGAGAATAATAGGCAGGATGCGAGAGTTAACGAATTGCAGGAGTAAGGGTTGGGTTATACCAGAATGTCTTAACTTCTTGATGTAGATGGTAAGATGACAGTTTTTGCATATAAAGTACATAAATTCATGAAAACAAAGAATTGAAAGGCATGAAACAGTGTGACAAAAATATCCTGAGATTTCTGGATGGGAGTATCAATAGAGTAATTTAACCACATTCTATGCATGAAATTATCTAGGTCTTCTAACCCAGACAATATCCATAATCTTTCCTTAACATAACCCTACCGTGAAAATATCTTTAAACTAAACCTACTCTAACTCGAACCAACCCCAATGTAGAGGGCAATAGTAAAGATAAGACATCACAGTCAAATAACCTTAAACCGCCCAGCATTACAGATGAGTGTTTTTCATAAACTTTGTTGCAAGTTTCAACCAACCTTAATCCTACCCTAACCTTTATTCTGAATCAGGGTGAAACCTGTAGCGCAGATCATGAAAAGCATCCATTTGTAGGCAAAGTTCATTAATAGCACCCCAAGGGATGAGAACACGCTAGTGACCTTGAGCCGACCAATCATAAAAATGAGGAATTTTTGCACAAAAATGACGCATATTTACAAGAAAATGCATGAAAAGAAACACTATATAGGATATCTTCCTGTGACAACTTAAAAATACGTCCCAGTAATAATGAGAAGTATCTGTTGCTAAGTTAGAATATGATAATTATTACATGTGTTCACCGAGGTGACTGAAGACGAGCTGTTTTTGTGTATCGTTTATCTCTCTTATCCTGTTGAGCACTCTTCCCTGAAATACCTCGGTTGAATTATTATGGCTTCCAGTAAGCGGATTGACGACTACTTACTAGGAAAATGTGGATAACAAAACAAATTCAAACGAATGACGTCAACTCTAAATCTATGGCAAGAGTAAACAATAAACACCTAAGTCAAATGACCTCGATTAGACCATTCAGACAGCTCAGCATTACAAATGGTTGCCAGTCGTAATCCTCTTTAAAAATGTCTCCTAGATTTGGTTTTTGACTTCTCTGCGGAAAATGTGTTGGTAGGGTGGAATAAAACATGCATATGTGGAGGGATAATGACTCTGCAAAAGTATTGCCAGGCTATTGATGGTAATGCATTCAGATGCAACCACTTTATATGAGGAAGTCTGTAAAAGCTGGTCAGTCGTATATATTTGGTGACATTTTAAGATACTTTCTTCTCGAAATCAAAGCTCTCCCTTAGTAATATATTGTGTATATGTAACCAGTATCTGCTACAGCTAGAGAAATAAAGAATACATTGGTTTGATATGCCTATAACCACTTCTATGAGAATCTGGGACCAATTTTTGCAGCATATACCCTATATGATTCATTATTATTGCATATATATCATAGATACACTTCTTTCTAAGTACCACTTTTCACCCAGAAGAATCTCATTGGCTATCTTAAGGTCATTTGACTTTGATGTCTATTGTCTACATCTTACCATATCCCCTAACCTTAATCCTAAACCTAAATTACAACCCTTATCCTAACCTTAACCCCAATACTTACCTTAATCCTGATCATAACCCTAAGGAGCTATTAACACATTGTTCATACAGTACTTAAAAACGTGATCTGGGTGAAATTTGCTCCTTAGTTAATCAATAGCATTGATATTTCAAATATGATAGTGATAGGTGCCATTAGCCAACGACTAGCATGTGTTCAAGGTCACTTGAGCGTTCGCACTCAGGGATACTATTGTTGAACTTCTCCCATTTATAATGCTGAGCGATCTGATTGGTTGCCTCGAGGTCATCTAACTGTGGTGTCTATCCTTAATTGGTTAGAGTGTGCATCCCAGATACCTATATGGAGCCTTCTTACCTTCAATGTTATATACACTGAATAATGGAAAGAATGATTTTTAATTGATAAGATGCGATTTGACCGTTAAAAGACTTAATTCGATAATAGATGTTCAGGCATCCAAATATGTAAGCATAATCACTACTGTGCAGCTGACCCCGCTATAGTTTTACAAATTTCATTATTCTGCTACCAGTTACTCGTCGATTGCTTCATATTTTCGTCATAATTAATACGAGAAGATTAATATTATTAAAAGACTATTCACACAGACGAATGGAGAGGTTTCAGACAGTTACTTTTATTCGGCTATGTATTGGTAACACTATAAATAATAATAATGTTTCTGATTTTGTTGATCCATTTGGGTGGCATCTACAGGGAATCCAGAGTGATTCTTGAGACACTTGAAAAAAAAGGATTGACTGCTCGCTTGGGTTGGTATACTACAGTCAAAAATTTATATTTGTAGGACACAAAATACAGGTTCTGAAAATGACCGTTATTTCCACTTGGTAGAACAATTTGGATAATAATAATAACGATGATAACAATAATAGCTCCAACAACAAAAGCAAACGGTTTTACTTACAACATGGTAAATAAGGCGACAAAGTAATTCCGTAGTGATTTGATTCAATGTGATTTAGTGAATAAGAGGTATCCGGTGCATTTCTTTGGACATTACAACAATCTATGACTTTGTACAGCCGCCAAATGTACAAATAAATTACTATTGACCTTCAGTCACATGGTTAAGGCAGACAAATACGACTATTCATTCACATAGTGTAGCCTCAGTGGGGGCTGACCCGAATTATGATTGGACGAGAAAAATCATTTGAAAATATGCAGCACCCAATGGTCCATGATGTAGGGTTAGACAACTAGACATGTCTGTGTTTTTTGATTGGTCGAATTTTTCGATTGACCATGTGGTCCTTGTAGCGAACATGAAATAAATAAAAAAAAGTTGTCCCTAGCTGTATTTGTTTTTGTGTTGTTAATAGGATGGTGGATGAAAAATCAGAATTATTTTCAGACCTTAGTCAGTTTTCTTCTCTTTGTGAAAGCCATTCGTTATGTGTGGACTTTAGTGAGAAAAATCTGTTGTGTGTTATAGATACATATACAATAAGATAGTGGTGCAGTTGAAGGGTTTTTCTTATCAAATCAACTGCCAATAAACAATGCGTATTCGGTTACACAGTACCAAAAGTTGCTTACTGATACGGTTAAATTACAGAGTATGGCAACACACTTAGTAAATAAATTTATAATGAAATCGATATAACCGAGATTTGCAAGTATTGGTTTTGTAGGGATTTTGTTTGATTGCATGGGGAATTTCGTCCCAGTTTGGGACTCTTCATCAGTAAGCTGTCCAGTACTCCCAGGATTTCTAGTGGTTGTCTAACTAATGTCAGCTCATGATGAAATCCTCCATGCAATATCTGAGATTTGTTTTACGGAGAAGCATATCAAATCGATTCTTCTTTCCCCTTCCCCCACCTTGAGCGATCGCACCACGATGAATATATTCTAATTACTGAGGTTTAAATTCATCTTTGTCTATTACTATTTCATCTTCTTTGGAAAGAATGTTGTTCAGGGTTCAGCAGATAGTATCCACCTCATCCCCTCTCGCTTGCTCGCTCTTTTAACCGCTTAGTATAATCACTTAAGTTTTTCAAGAATGCCACCACCACAATACATAAAGCAGAACAAAGTGGTGATTTATAGACCAATGGTGTTTTGTAACTAAACTAATTTCAGTCAAATGACAAAAAATTCTTATCTTGACATTTTAATAAAAAATAGGACGCTAACAATAACCTTTAAACGAATTTGACCATGGATTGACATCAATTAGAAAACCATTAAAAGCCATCACTGGAGTACTGGACATCTGTTTCATTCCTCCTAGTTTGGAAGTCACCGGTAGTAGGCACCCAATGTCAGGGTTCGAACCCAGGACCTTCGGGTTACAAGACAAGCTCTTAAACCATTCAGCCACTGGGACCCGATTCGATGGCCCATAAATGGGCCACGCGCGCTAAATCACGAATTGGTAGAAGTTAGAATTCACGGGCTGGTCAATGAATCAGATCCCAGTGGTTGAATGGTAAAAGAGTTTGCCTGGTTATCGGAAAATCCTGGGTTCGAACCCTGTTAGTGGGTGCTTACTATCGTTGATTCCGAAACTAGGATGAAACAGCTGTCCAGTACTCCAGTGTTGTTTTTCAATGTTTCTCCAACTGATACCAATTCGTGGTCAAACTGGTATAAACATATCCAATGTTTACAAACCAAACTCTTGAAAATAACCTTTAAACGATTAGAGACATCTTTTAACACAATGTGAGCATTTCTTCTGACTTAAAATCTTCACTCGTTTATTAAAACTGATTACACTGTGACGATATTTAACAGAATTTTGTGGTTAAGATTAAAAAGTCAGGAAGGAGTGTTAAACACCTTTTTTTTTACTTTGAGGCTAGCTCAATGTGAGATGGAGGTTTTCAAGAATTTGAAGCTACTTCTCCGTTAATTTGTATAGGTGAATGATTTGATACTCATTTAGTTTCCCATTACGAATAAACATCGCCTTGAACACCATTGAGAACCAATGAAAACTATAGGCAATGTTTTGTCCCTGTTGTAAGTCTTCAGTATCGACTATACCATAGGATTTAGTCCAAAAAAACTACCATATCTGTGTACACCGTTTAAGAGTTCCAAGCAAACCCAAAGTAATTGTCTATATGCTGCTACCTAGTTTTCAGTAATTTGTTAGATGATGTTATTTTTTGGCCAGTCGGTTCAAATCAACGAGGTGTATAGCAGACAAACAAACAGAATCCTTTAACGAACTGCCTCAATCAAGTACATTCAAGAATCGTACATGATTACTAGCTTTAGAGTGAAGTTTTACCAACGTATAACATGTGTATAACATGGATGTGTTTCTCATCCCACATACTTCTTCAACAAGTAAAAGAAACAAACAACAACCTATAGAATGTTTTCGATACTATTTATTAGCCAATAATACTGTGATATATAATTGTAATCAGAAAATCAATATACACAATCACAAATACATACACAGTTAGTCAATTCATTCTTAACGCCAATCAATGCCATCATCATTCAATACGTGCGCACTAATAACAGATGCTTTGTTGTTGCTACTTTTGTAAAAAGCAAAAATAAAAGTTTAAATTCACACACAGAGTCACATGTTATCGCGATGTTGTCCTTTTAGTCTACTGGCAGTATAACCACATACTTCAACAATGTTGCTTTCTTTTGCTTCTTCTTCTTCTTCTTTCATATTCTCGTTTGTTCATGAATCTTAACAATAGTTATCTGACAAACAATGGCAAGTCAAAGTAATTACAGACAGAAATAAGCAAGGCTTGAACTTGTTTGTTATTTTAGACAAGAGACAGTATTGTGTGTTATTATTTCATCTTAACTAATTTTCTTTGTTAGTTTGTTTTTTTCTTTCGTTTTTCTTTCTTATTTCTTTTGGATAACTTTCAAACTGAATCAAGATGAACAGAGACAGGTGGTTTTCTAATTAGTGACAAAAGGACTGCAAACCTTAAAACAACTCAATCAGGTTTCTTATTAGTATTAAAAGTTTGATATGGTGGGTTGGTATCAGAACGGACACCATCGTCGCGTATTACAGCACACACAAGAAGCTGGTAAATAAATTTATCGGTCAAATGAAGAGAATATATATATATACATATGCATACAACTGTTCCTATGTCAGTGATTCGCAAATCATTCACGTCGTCCAGGATTCGATTCCCAGATGACACATCGCTAAACGTTATATAGTTTACTAGTCGGTAATATGCCTGGAAAATAGGACAGGTTGAGCGGGAGTATAGTAACTCCAATACTCAAAAAAGGAACGGCACCGTCTGCACTGAAAATTCAAAGCTTGAAGCTCTATGTTCCACCCGGTAAGCAAAGAAACGAAAAAAACCTCACAACTTAGTATATGCGTAGAACTTGGACACTGTAGTAGTATGTCACACCATATTAATTAATTTATTAGATTTATCATACAGTGAAACAGTATTGTTTACTGGATGACGTTTATATATATAGGTAGATCGATCAATAAAATGGTCAGAAGTGAAGTTATTTCTGGCAAACAACTTGAATTTGGAACAAAAGTTCCAGTAGAAGATACAATGCTAGGAGTGCACTTATGGATGATTTCTACAGTATTTAAATTTCAAGAGAAAATATACAAACAGACTCAGGAATTTGCCAAGGGGTTGCCAATGTCCCCGATGGTGACAGGTATATTCGTGGATAGGTGGGGAAACTTAGCGATTGAAATTTTCAGCCTCACCCCATAAAGTATGGTGAAGGTATGTAGATGACACATTCACTGTACTTAGAACATAAGACATAAACAGATTTTTTGAAAGTATCAATTCGAAGGTAGAGGCCGTACAATTCATTTATAAGTTGGAAAGTTAAGAAGGAGAGCTTCCAATGTCAGATTGCAGCATAAAAAGGAGAAAAGATGGGAAGTTAAACACTAGTGTTTACAAGAAACCCACACATTCAAACAGATATTTAGATTTCCGATCATCCCTCCCTATGTCAGTAAAAATAGAATCTGTGAAATGTTTAAATTACAGGGCACAAAAACTAAATAGTACCAAGGAAAATCTAAGAGACAAATAAGAAAAGCTTTGAAACTTATTAATAAACCCCTAATAATTTATTCAGGAAGTATGTAGGAAAGTGAAAAAATGAAATGAATAGTAATAATGGGAGTGACAATAATAGGAATGCTGACGGTAACAATTATAATGGCGACATGCATGACAAATCTACCCAGAATGAGGACAATACTAACAATAAGGAATCTAAATCATCAGTAGTACTTTTATGCAAAGAAGAAACCTCGGAAACCGTATGCAGAATCCATAAGAGTGAAGGAATAAAAGTGGCTGGTATTCAAACCTACAAAGTCAATTAGAAAATAAGCCTTGTCGGTTAAAGGATACTGTGGAGTCCATTGACCAGAACAGTTCAGTTAATCTAGTACCCTGTTTGCAATGACTGTCAGGTTAGATGCAAAGGTGAAAGTAGTGGAACAGTATCCGTCAGACTAGCGAAGCAGCACAAAAACCTAACGGGGAAATCTAGATTAGTTGATCCTATTGGAAATCTGGAGAGTGGTTGAGCTATAGCACTCACTACATGCAGCTACACACAAGCATACAGTAGGATGGATGGGATAAGATGACAGCTCTGAAGTCTAGTATCGAGAGGATGGAGGGGGAGATTAATAATGGGAGCTTTATTTATATTAAATCAAATGAACACACGTGCAACTGGAATTATGACTCAACGCCTGTCCACCTGAATATCTGGAAAATTCTACTACCCATACGGAGGATAGGAAAGAATAAAGAAAACCATAGAACGCAATTTTCGAATTAGTGTGGTTATAATTGTCATAATTAGGAGCAATAAATTGTGTTAGAAACTTTTTCACCCAGTAAATAATGCTGTTTTACTGTGTGATATGTCTAATATGTCTAATGTCAGCT